GGACATTTTCATGCTCTAACACAAAGTTCCCACACCAGTTCAAGCTAAGTTGCTATGTCTTCACTCGTCTGTAAAATAAGGATTCTCACAGATGCTGGGAGAATAAATACTCTTAAGAAGCAGGAGAAGACCATAGTTACCATAGCCAGCACCAACACAGAAGCAGAGGGCCTTGATCTCCGTGGAGATGTACAACCAAGACCATCTACTTTAGCATTCATGAGGAATAACTAAAGGCCCCAGAAAGTGTTCAGTAGGTTTCAACCCATTTAAACCAACAGCAGACCTCCTTGTAACGCATAAACATTTAATCACAAAAGAGGTAGCAGGGAAAAATTATGTATTTTTATTTGCTCCCAGAAAGCCCAAGTTTCCTGCCGCTCTGATGCTCTCCGAACAGTTAGTGTTGGCCTACCACGCAGCACCTACATACAAATCAAGAAACAAGTAGACAAAGGTCCCAAAGTACTGACATGTCCTTCACTTGCAACCTCTGAAGACAAAGCATTTGAACAGGACACCAAAAGCGATCCCAAAGCATATTCAGACCTTCCTTCTCCGGAGCTGCAGGCCATCGGAACTGCTTTTGGAGGATCAATTTCTATTTTATAAAGGCACAGATGATATCATCTTCTGCTTTACTTTTTGACTAAATATTGCTGGTTAGAGAGTCAGCTGATGGACTATAAAACTGACAGCCTCATTACTGGCGCATATAAATTGCTTTTGCTCAGCTGGAGTTAATGTAGGACCATCTGACTTCCCAGAATTGACATTTTTAATGATTCTGTCTCTCCAGCACTTTCTCACTGACCACTACAAAAATCCAAACTGTCTCTTGCTCTGCCAAGCCTTTTGTGGATCAAGTTACTTCTCTAGGGATTTGCAGTGTGTCAGACATCAGACCAAGCAAACTCAATAATAGCTGACCTGAGAATAGCTACTCCAATACTTCTGGGCTCTTCTGGACTATAGATTTTAGCATTAAATGTCAAAATTCTGAAGGCCAGAGGACAGATGCATCCCCAGGAGAAGAACCTATGTGCAAAGTATTTTGAAGATGGAAAACACCAACTGTAAAAGTTTGGTGCTCAGGTGGTGTGCCCTCATCTTGTACCCCGTTGGGTACCGATAGCTTTCTTCAAATCTTCCTTTCCTGTGCCATACCCCACACCAAGCAGAACAACTTCCCTTTGTAAAGCATATTTCACTCACACAAGATGGGAAATTCTTCACATCTCAGTACTATTTGGCCAAGGGAGGGAAGTGCAGAGCTCTTCCCCGGGATGCACAAAGACGCTCGCCGCGGGCTGAGGCAGGCGGGAGCACGGTGCCCCTGACCCAGCGGCATTCCGAACTGCAGCTCCCCCCTCCAGGGGCTGCGTCTGGGGCCGTCCAGCGGTTACAAAGCTGTCTTAAAATTAAAGTCAAGTTAATTTTAGCTTTAGAAGAAAAGCACTTAAAGGAAATGGCTTTCAAAGTGGTAGCTTTAGATGAATAGCACCTAGAGAAAAAGGGTTTCAAAGAGAAATAGTCCATGCACACGTCCAGCAGATCTAAAGCTTTACGAGCCCTTCACAGTGAGTCTGGTCTCTCCAGGCGCTCCAGCAGAACAATGTGGGCAGTTCTTTTGACCTCCTGCCAGGTTTGGGGAATTTCTTCTGTTCTCAACAATCCTCCTCCTGCTGACACGAGCTGTATGTTTTTTCCGCCCTTCCTGTTCTCCCTAATACACCCCACAAAGAAACACGTAACCAGGACCAGCTACGGACACAGCAGTAGCCCAGTGTGTGCCCACGCACCCAGGGCCAGGGAACCAGGGCAGGAACTCCCAGCTGGCACAAACTGGGAAGAGGGGAAGGGATGCACTACTGCATCAGCATCTCAGGCAAAAGGAGCCCAACACCACCACGGAGACGCGACAGCATCTCCCATTCCCCATGCACTCCCAGCAAATGAGCCATTTGAACACCTAGGTTCAGCTCCTCACTTGGCCTCAGATTTTCCGTGTGAACTCATGCAAGTCCTTGGTTCTCCTTGTGCCTCTAAAACATAAATGATTTCCCTTCCTCATAGGAGCACTGTGGGCATCAGCACATTGTAGATGAGGAAGGAAGAAATATCAAAGAACCATTAAGGTCGTCTAGACAGAAAAGGAATAAATGGCTCTTTACATAAGCGTTTACCTGGTGGAATAACAGGGGTGAGTCACAAGCAGAGAGACTGATCCCACTGCATCCCTTCTTTTCTCGCCTACAACACCAGTGCACAGAAGTCCTATCTCACTCTTAAAGATGAACTCAGCTCAGCCACAGCCTCATCCTCTCCCTCATGGCTGCTTGCACAGACTGCAACAGAAAAATAAAAGGCAATCCACAGCTTCTGGATCTGGTGACATGTAACCCAGCCAGGCACTTCCAGAAAATGCAGAAATTCATGTCCTTCCAGTACTTCAGGTGCCTGGACTTGGTGCTTTGCAGTCAACCTACCCTGATAAACTTCACAAGGGCTCCTCCAATTTACATGAGGGTCAATAAAACATAAGTTAGGGAGAAAAATCCTGCTTTTTGCCACACAGTCGATTTATTCCACATCTGAAATTTTTGGAAAGGTGGCCTTTCCAAGTTCTAAGAAAGACAGAAAGTGGTGGAGGATGAAGGCTGCAGGATGATGGAATATTAAGCATCAGAAACGGAACTGGGCTTATATGTTCAGGAGCAGATCTCTGGAAGAGACACTGCAAAGTACATCCTCCAGCATGACTCTGCCTAAGGCAAAGGGACATCATAACCAATGATACTATACAAGGAGTGTTAAAGCTACGTATTGTTTCATAGCCCAGGACCGCTTATTTTCTGTACACAATTATTATAGCCTCTCCAGCCAGAGAGGTTTACTGCACGCCAGGGAGAGCTTCAGCCGCTGGTCACTGCTTTCTCACCTGACACGTTTATCCGCACATCTGATCGGTATCTCCTACCCTGAGCCTCTTCCTCCAGCAGTGAAGGTGGTAGAGCTGGAAACGCAGCTGTGACTCCAGTTCAGACCCACATCAGCTATGAACAGAGATGTGCCTGGTCCCTTATGCAGAATGACCTCCTCCATGTTCATGGTAACAGCCTATGTCACATACAACAGCACCTTCAGCAGACTCTAGACACCCTTCCAGACAAACTAACCATTGCCTTGCAACCTGCTCTGGAAACAGGGCTTCCATCAGATCCCTCCAGAGACCCAAGCCAGATGGCATTGCATCAGCCACCCTGGCTGAGGTGGTTAAATGTACCAAGATCCCTGAAGAGATATCAGTGCCATCTTTCTCCATGCTGCACAACGTAATGCCTGGTGTGTGCGGACACACCTCGGAGTCTGCAAAATGCTGCCTCTCTTGAACACTTTACAAAGCATTGGCACCCTTAGCCAGGATTGACTGATTCAGAGGCAAAGCTCCACCAAGCCACCCATCCTGGTACGTACGGTCTTGAACCAGGCAAGTACTTTTAAATGGTCAACAGCTTAATGCTACCTTCTCACTATTGCTAGCAGTCGTACAGAGCCCACCAAGCCAGCCCATCGCACCCTTGAGTGCAGACAATATGCTGCTCATGTCACATTTTCTCTCAAGGCACCACAAAGATCCTGCACTAAGGAAATGAATAAGATAAGAACACAAAGCTGCTGATGCGACTCCCATCATAACCTTAAGCTTCTTACACACTTTTCCTCCAAGCACAGTCACGTACCTCTAATCCAAGAGCACAGTCACATACCTCTAATGCCAAAGCCAACCACAAAACCATTAAACACTTATAATTATTCCCCCACCACAGCTCCCGTCCAGCCTGATGGGATAACAGGACACATGAAACAGATCTGACATGGAAACCACCCAACACAATGTTTTTCAAGCAAGAGTTAGTGGGACAGGGAGATATCAGACCTGATGCAAACTCAGTCTGCCCTCAAAGAGCAGTCCTGCTATGGAGATCTTGAAATACGCTCTTTGATTCCATTCAAAGGAAGCTAACAACGCTAAAGCAGGCTGGAAACAGCATTACAGGGGAAGAACTGCTAGGATAAACCAGAATTTAACACCCAGAGGAAGTGATAGTTCTTATAATACAACATATAAAAGAGTTTTGAGGTTTCTTTATTGGATGAGCCTCTCACACCAGCTAGTTCTCTAACAGTCAGACACAGACACTTTCTGTACAGACATGGTTCAGCTCCCACCAATTCACCTGAAAGGTGCCTACTGCTTTTGACGGGGCTTGGCTTGGAAACAGAGTATCCTGGGAAACAATCCCAGTGCCCTGAGTCAAGGTGGGCAAGTTCCCTTCTAAACTCTACGTTGTCCCACACTAGCTTTGACTTGTGTCCGACAGACATCACATATATAAACAACGATAAGCTATTCCTAGGTGAAATAAATTAGTCCTGTCATTAAACACAGGGCCTATACATACAGTGGGAATAAAGTGTATAAAGCTTTATAGCGGCTTTACAGGCTTGTCTTGCTTAACACTGCCAGCATAGGGTCCCACACCTGGACCACACACCCCTTAAAAATGCTGCTGAAGTAGCAAAGACGCTGATTAGCAACTATCCAACTTTTTTTGTCCTCACAGAACATATATCCCTGCACAAACCCACCTCAGGCAAAGGGAATGGAAATTTCCCCAGGAATCTCACCTGAGAAGTTATTTATTCGTCCACCCTTGGAGCAAGACAACACTAAGCTCTGGGAATGATGGAGGAGGTCTGGAGTATTCAGAGCATCTCTCCCCAAAATGAAAACTCAGGTCACACTGCCTGGGACCCATCCCAGTTCAACCAGTCATCACTGGTGGATGAGGTTTCCTCAGAAATGAACCTGCTGCGTGTTTAGCTTGAGAGCCAACCCATGAGCCTTCTCAGCAAAAGGGGCCGTCCAATGCAAAGTGGAGAGCAGGAGACATGTCCTCTGCAAGGGTAAAGGAAGAAGGAACTTTTTCTCTTACCCAGACCCTGGTTCTGCTGCTCCCACTCGATGGTGTCGGGAACCTGGTAGGACACCCCAGCCAGCTGGGCCACAGGGTTTTCCAGGCCAGCTATGGGCTCCTGGGAGGTCTCGCCTGGAAGCGTGAAACCTGGCAGCTCCGTGTCACCCTCCATGCTTTCATCCATCGAATCTATGTCTTTGTCCTCCTCATCTTCCTCTTCCTCCTCTTCTTCTTCCTCCTCTTCTTCATCCTCTTCCTCTTCCTCACCCTCTGGCCAGGGAGACACAAAAGCAACATCAGGAAAGATTGCACAAGACAGAATGTTCATGTATCTCTACAGGTGAGCACCAAGACAGCCAGCTGATACCACTTCTCCAAAGGCAGACCAGCTGAATGAACTTGTGCTTGTTTTCTAACACAAAAGACACCCATAGGGGTTAATTTAGAAGAGCTCACCACCGTTTGAAGTTGCTAAGTAACAATGAGATGTTGCCTTAGACTGTCAAATGCATTAGTGGGAAATACTGTTATTTTGCTTCCTAATAGCAGAGTACAAACAAGCATGTGCATGTGTACAAATACCTGAGTATATACAGTTAGTGCTCTCTGCTCAACTAATTTCAGCTTAAGTGAGAACTATTTCCCTGATTTCCAGTCTTGGAGACAGCAGTAAGTTGGTTCAATTTTTAACTTTTATTAAGGTCTGGAAAGGATACTGCTTTCCAGCCCAATTAGACTGATACAGCCCCTCCTCCAGAAAAAGCATCTCGCTTTGATGCGTGCTGGCTGATCTTGGCTCTTGGGTGCGGGAGAACAGTGGTGATGGTAGTGATCCTCAGCAGGTTCGTACTGCCACTCCTGCCACCACAGATTTACACCAGACAAAGGTATGATCAAGGAAGACTTAACTCAGTATTGGAAAGAAGGCGGCGCAGCCAACACTTTGTGTAGCAGCAGATAAATGTGACGCCAAGGAAACCCCTGTGGATTCTCCACTAAAGCAGATATCCATCTTATTCCAAAGCTGACTGTACTGTTAACATATGGAGAGATAAATATTCAAGCCATATTTCATTGTTAGAATCTAAAATGGCAACACAAGAACAACCACACTGGATCAAACCAAAGGTCATACCCTATTTCTGACCAAACAGCTGCAGATGCTGAAAACTAGAGCGGGACACACACAAAGCCAGCCTTCGCACAGTCTCTCTTCCCAGCTTTTAGTTATCAAAGACTCAAGGACTTCCTGAGCCAGAATTTTCATCTGAGCTATTTAATAGCTACTAATGGAGCTACCCACCACAAAAAGTTAGTATCTGGAATAATTACATGCTTTGGATTTCTGATGGCTAGTTTTTTCAAAGATGAAAGCTAAAACATAATATTTATGCACTTTATCTAATTCAAACGAAGCTCTGCTCAGCCCTGTAGAAAAAATGCCTCCTGATGTACACAGACTGCGAGATCCCATCACCCTGCATCTGAGCAGCTGGTTTCGCCAGGGATCTAAGACTGTGTTAAAAACTAACGATCCAGCAAAATCATAGAACAGTTTAGGTTGGAAGGGACCTTAAAGATCATCCAGTTCCAACCCCCCTGCCATGGACAGGGACACCTCCCACCAGACCAGGTTGCTCAAAGCCCCATCCAACCTGGCCTTGAACACCTCCAGGGATGGGGCAGCCACGGCTTCTCTGGGCAACCTGCGCCAGTGCCTCACCACCTTCAGAGTGAAGAATTTCTTCCTAATATCTAATCTAAATCTCCCCTCCTTCAATTTAAAACCTTTACTCCTTGTCCTCTCACTACACTCCCTGATAAAGAATCCCTCCCCATCTTTCCTGTAGGCCCCCTTCAAGTACTGGAACCAACATTGTTATCTAGATATCCCCTTATTTCTGTTGGAAACAGAAGCAACAAACGCAGCAATCAGAGGTAGGACACCGGAGGGGCTGCACATATCGTACCTGCTTCACCCTTCTCGTTTCTGCTGTGGGATGTAATGGCACTCCAGCACAGCTGTTCCACAAAACACCTGAGAAACAAACTGGGGAACTTTGGGGAAGCTATTTAGTTGTTGGCTATCTGACTTGAATTAACTGGGGGGAGCTGGCCTCCTTCTTTTGGCCTCTGCTTCACGGACTGGAATATCCAGAGAAATCAGTGTACATTGTAAAACCACGGCATTCACTGTGCTGTTACGTGGCATCCCCTTTCCTTCTAATTCAAGGATTTGCTTTAAAACACTGCATGTTTTTTGCCAGCTCACCAGAAAAGACAATCCTGCTTGCCACCTTTCAGTTCCAGCCCTGCATTTCACACAAATGAGCTGCTGTTTGAATTTAGCTGCATCATCCTGCTATAGCACGGCTTTCAGTACCTGGAAAGAAACGATCACTCCTGCAAACAAGTATACCACACAGAGCATCTAATGGAGCTTACAGGGATGTAGTTAGCCCCTTAAATTCCCATTACATTTTATAGGCAGTTTCTGTCTTATAATGTGCCCATCGTTTCAAATCAACACGAGAATTTTCTCTATCAAACTGCACGTTTCCATACAAAACACACAGCTTTTGTAAACCTGAGAATGGCACCTGGAGAGTGCTTGCAGGAAACCTACAAAGACAAGTTAATGTAGGTCTTTTGCCTCTGCTGAGAGCAACACAGCTATAAACATCTCCAAACTTTAATAGCACAGACACTAAACAGATAGCACACTGGAGAGGAGAAACATGAACAGAGGTTTTCCCTAGATGGACTGGGTGAAAAAGCAGCCAAGAAAAAACAGGGATCAGATATTTATCTCTGAAAAAATAATTTGGGACAAGGTTTTTAGAAGCTTGTTGCAATTTTAGCAAACCGAATGAGAGACACCTGCCAGGATCTAGTTTTGAAGCAGGAGATAGCCATCTCTGTACCTCCAAAGTCTAGCAGGCAGCCAAGCTGAACACCCAAATTGAAAGTGCCAAGACTACTTATCACGTCTGATCATCACCAAGCTACATCAATCATCACGCAGGCACAGCACAAAGATGTGAATAATGTAGTCCTCGTAGCACAATCACTGTGAGGGGGAAAAGAAAAGGCTCTTGACTTGTTTCCTCCGCCTCTCTAGCTCATTCCAACTTCTGAAAACAGCTTTTTAAACCCCCATCCCAAAACGCCAACAGCTTGCCTTGCTGCAAGGTGCAGCGCAGAGCACCACTTGGTGGTCACAAGGAGGAAGCTCCGCTTCTCAAAAAATCACAAACTTCACAAATGTTGTTAGTTCAGGAGCAGAACCGCAACAGGAGCCCAGCAGCCCTGGGCAGGATGCACGTAACACTTGGTAGTCTCATAAGATGGAAAATGGAAGCCAGTATCAAACTGCTGAATCTCAAGTTGGAGGTTTGTGCTTCACACGACAGCCTTTTACAAAACTCACCTTTTCCCTCCTAAACTGGCACTTGTTGGCCTTTCAGAGGCCTCAGCAGCAGCTTTGAAGAAAAGAGAGAGAAGAAACAGAAAGCAGCAAGAACTGAAGGTGCAAAGCCCAGCAGATTCAGAAAGCATTTGACTTTTCACGTGCATTTGCAGTCCATTGTGAACTACTTTGTGTACCTTAGCTTTGGCTAAGGATCGTCTTACCAAAAAACAGAAAAACCTATGATGAAACGGCAGCACCTCAGGGTCAAGGCACCAGTCTCCAACCAAAAAAAATGCAAGTATAAAGTTTTCTTGGCCACAGACTTGAACTTATCTAAATTGGGCAATGACCCAGAGCCCAGCTGTAGGAATGCTCCTGAACATCCAACAGTGGTGACAGGTGCCCCTCACGCACCGAAGCAGGCAGGTACACAGCACCTGTAGCAGCTTCTACTGCGAGCCATCCTTGCTCTATAGATCTTCATATGTTACGTATAAGCTGATCCCGTTATCCTATTTCCATGCACTGAATCCCAGCTCTTGCTTGAGACGTGACACGTGGACCTGTCAAGGAGGGATGGTATCCTGTCTGCTCTCCTGGTAACACCAGGAGACTTCAACACTGGAACACTTGAAGTCCAAGCTGACATTTGTATTTTCTACTGCAGTGAGGGCAATGCAAGAGTAGTCTAGGGCAGAGTTAAAGACTCCTCTCCAAGAGTGAAGAAATCACTGCCACTCTTTGACAGACTAAATAAGCACTGTATGCTGTAAAGCAGGCTCTGCTTCGCCTTCACTGAAACAGGAAAGAAAAAAAAATCAATACACTTAACACCTCCCTGCTGTGACAACAGTACAACCTAAGAAAG